ATATTATGCATACACATACACATACACATACACATACATACATACATACATACATACATACATACATACATACATACATACATACATACATGCATGCATACATACATGCATACATACATGCATACACGCATGGGCCTACTCAGCTTTTGCTTTATAAGACCATAGTGGAGCAGCTGATCTTCGAGAATGTTTTCACATCGCTGTGCTGATACTGAGTCTTCTGCGGCTAGACCAGCGCAATGCAAGAGTGGAAGGCACGCGCTCATGCTTGGTGCTGTCACGCACACAACTGCCCCATGCGTCCGCTTTGGCAAAAATGGCCTTTCCAATTTCAACCCTGCAGAAGGCTGTGGAGGTGGTGTCGGTAATGAGGCAGGGCACTCTCTTGCATATTATGTAGACCGGTTGCGGTGACAGTTGCATGCAAGATCTCGAGAAACTTCGCTGGAAAAAACACTGTTTGTAGACGCGCAGCGCGCGACAGAGCGCACCTTGAGGAGCAGCTGCAGCTGGCGTTGAAGGTTGCTTTTGCCTTCCCACAGGACTGCCTAAGCCACGAAGCCCCGAGCAGAAGGTCATCTTCCTGCCCTATGCGGCTATGCCTGTTCTGCTTCTCAGGACGAGATGGCCTCGGCAAAGTTTCCATTCAAAACAGGCCGGAGCCTAGTGGGAAACGATGGTGCATTGTGTTGGCAGAGCTGGAAGACCAGCCTGTGTCTTGTCAGCTCCATGGAAAGGTCAGGAACTGGCTTTGTCTTGCATCGAGAAGGCGAGTCGGCTTATGAGCACGATCTGCTCTCTACAGTTGAAGCAGACGCAATTTCCTCGTTTGGGTAAATCGTTGAATGGTGTTGGAAGTCTCAAGATCTGGTTGCGAAGTGATCTCATGATCTCCACATGCGCGACAACTCCGCATACAATTTTGTCCCGAACGAGCTCCATTCCTGTGGGAAAATGTGGAGACAAGGACTCTCAACTAAGCCCCCACCTGCAAAAGGACATTGAAAGGAAAGGCATGTTTCGAAACAGACGTCTGGGCTCTTGAATCCTTACCTCATGAGTAGATGAGTTTCGTGGTTTTTGGCTTGTGTATGCATTGGCGCAGTAGCTCCGCTTGCAGTCGCAAGTTGTTCCTTGTCGTTGCTGGCCAGGTGAAGGCTTGGAGTCCCTTGACTCTGCGACAGGACTGATAAGAAGTCAGCGTGCACCTGTTTGGAGCTTGGAGGGTTGCCACCGATCAGACGGCAAGAACATCTCTGTTGAGGATCGTGCTGCCCACCGGACTGCGCAGACTTCAAAGTCCAGCAGCTTGTGGCCGACAGCGTCCGAATCCCGCTTCGCAAGGCCTGGGCCATTGGGCCATGCCTGGTGGTGTGAGGGCGCTGCGCGATAGGGAAGAAAACGAAGGGAGAAGGAGCTGCATACGGCATATTGGCCAAGGGGTCAACAAGCGTCTGCTTTCAGGAGCTCAACTTGAAATGCCGGAGACCAGCAAGAACTGGCAGTGAAGCGCATGGCATGGTCTTACTCACTAGCCTGGCATGAGGGGAGTATACCATTCGGGGCTGGGCGAATCAGGCATGGGCCCCAAAGTCGTCACAACGATTCGCAAAACGACGTCCAATTGCGCTTGTAGATACTAGTAGGAGTGCGGCAGGTAGATTTGTTGGAACCGGATTGGCGCTTGGACTGAACATACCGAGCGCTCAAGCCGTGCTCGTGGCTCATTTGGTGCCACCTATGGGCTTGGACAATTTCCCTGTCCCGAGCGATGATAGCGTGCAATGCATCCATGCCCGAATGCTGGCAGTACATCCACTCGCACCCTGCCATTCAGATGCGGACCGCTGCGCATCGCACGAGGGGCAGCTCGCACGATGAACACGTGTATCTGCCAGTGCATCGATTCCGAAAAGCATTCATGCAACGACCTCCATGCCCCGAAAGACGACGACTTCCGTGCTAGAAGCGTGCCCATTTCCCAAAAGTTCAAGCTTCTTGGGTACTGTGTGATTGCTTGCTGGTCTGTTTGTCCGACGTTATTAAGCCCAGGGTTCTGATGTCCCACGCTTCACCTGCCATGTTGAGTCCTCGGACGCTGCCATGCGGGAGCCAATAATGGACAAATGGTAGTGACGCCCATGCTCCCAGCACATCCATACCGCGCACACCGAAAAACATCCATGCCAGACTGATGGTGATGTCAATGCTCGTAAAGCGTCCATACACGAAGGATGACGGCGTCCATGCTACCAGTGGTCAGTGCAGGGCTCGCGTGGTGCTCTTGGGGAGCGGATGCGGAGGGGACGCGATCATGGTGAGGCACATCGATGTTCTATGGTAGTCCTATGATGTTCTTGTTACCTGCGGTCGGAATGGATTCGGGCGTGGGGCCTGAAAGTCATCAATGCTCCTCCACGTCGCTCTGAAGGTGGATGTGCTGACCATTCCTACAAGGTCCTACAAGCAAGAGCAGCAGGCAGCTCGAACACTTGCAGATATCTATGCTGTGTAGCAGTGAGGTCCAACCCGGTAAGACCAATTACAAAGTCACGGTGGCCTGCGATGCTGGATGGAAAAATACAAACTCATTGACGTGTCCATGATTTGGCAGGGGCATTGAACGGGCTGGGGACGTCAAGGTTCATTCCAACAGGACACGGCCCAACGCCATCGTCTAAGCGTGGGCCGAAAATGGCCGGCAGGTGTTTGTGTGATTTTGTGTGTGTGTGTGTGTGTGTGTGTGTGCGTGCGCGTCCGTGCGTGCGTGCGCGCGCGCGCGCGCCTTGCAGATGCGCATTTGTCATGTCCAGGCCCTGGCGAGCATGGTCGGTCAAGATTTGGGCGCCGACTGGCGATGGGGACGTCGAGGAGTTCTGGGGTTTGCTGCAGGCCTGTTCTTTCTGATGCAGGTTTTGCAGCAGATGTGACACCTATCGGTTCTTGGTGAATGCAGGTGCCATTGGCCAAGGAGCATCGTGACATTGAAAAGGCCGCGTGGGAAGATCACATTTTGGCAGCTGCCCTTCCAAAGAGGTCCAGAAGCAAGTGATCCCTGAAGTTAAGCACTGCAAATCTGCAGGTGAAGGAGGTGATCAAGGAAGTCCAGTCTGTGGCAGATTATGCGCACAAGTTCAACCAGCATATCGTGCCTCGCAGTGAAGCAGACTTGATGGTAACAGCGAGTTGAGCAACTCCGAGACAATCCTTGTCCAAAAGTGAATCGCTTGCAGGCTCGTGCTGCTGGCGAGGAGCTTGACTCTGCGCCAGCCATTCGCGTGGCTGTGCCGGTTGGCTGCTTTGTGGCTTTGCTGCAACATGATGCGAGCATGCAGTACTGTAGAGGTTTGGGAAAAGCAGATTCGGCTTTGTAGAAGCCAGCAAGCCATTCACATCGAAGGATCGTTTCTGCATGGAGTTTGCAAAATAACCTGGGGACAACCCTTTCCGAGAAGCTACGACCAGAAAAGTGAATGTACACTTGCCTGTTTTCGCGGCTTGCCTCTCAATTCGAAGAGTGACTGAACAAAGCAGGGCGCTGAATGGTCCGGGGACGAACTGAGGTGCTCGACAGCATCAACCCGCACATTGCCGATGCCGGGGATGCACTGATGCTGAATCCTGAACCGCACTGGCGAGCAATCCTCGACGCACCCGTTATTAGTAGAGTTGGTGCAGCTCATAAGTAGGGTCTGGCATGGTACACTGGCAGCAGTGCGCAGTTTCGCACGGCGCACGACGTTGCCCATCAGACGTGAAAATTGAGTTCGTGAGAATATTCGTCATGCTCGCCGCAAGGTCACTCAGACCTCGACCAGCATAGATCACCAGTCCCTTTACTACACTTTGTGCCCTGTGCTTTACGAAGGACCCAGGCCATAAGGAGGAGTCCAGAGCACAACACGAGCAGAACCCTAGGCCGTTACAGTGTGGCTGCATGTGGCTACTTTTTTGTCCGAAGGAAGTGGATCCCAGAGTCCACAGCAGAGCCACACAGTGCCAAGATCAGGCTCAAAGAGCTGGATAGCTAAGGACACTCTTCGACGCAGCGGCCGTCACGAAGTTTGTCTTCGAAGGTCCGTGCAATCGGTTTTGAGCATTGCTACAGGTAGGAAGCTTCAGACATGGGATCTTGCAAATAGCCCCCCATTCCACGCCACAGCTGGACCTGGAGCACAACCAGAACAGGACTTGCCGCCGATGTCGGCACGAGTAGAGACCCTTGCATGAGGCATTGAAAACGTCCAGACCCCTCCAGGGCGAGAGAAGCGGAGACCAAGGCACGGTGTGCGCAGTGCAGCGTGAAAGTGCGAGCGAAAGGTGCCGAAGACTTTCAAGAGCTCCCACAAGCTTTCTTCCACTACGTTGCCTGGAGCAGTGGTGGCCAGGACACGTGCCGATGCCAACCACGTTGCACATTTCTGAGATTGCATACCTGTGAGGAGATGGTGGCCGACCTACAGGGCGTACAGGACGAGCTTCTCCCTAAGAGTGTCGCAAGGATGCCAGATGCAGTGTGGTGACATCGGGACTGTAACATACTAATGTTCGGACAGGCTAGGTGAGGCTTTATGTTGCTTGCTCATGCTTGCTCGCTAGAGCATTCTTCCCAGGCAAGACTTCCTGCTGGTCGACCCCGCGGGGGTACCAAGTGCTCTTTTGAGCCGGAGATGTACAGTTGAGCGGCAAGTAATCTTAGCCATGCATCGGGTCTGTCCGACTTCTTGACCTCCCTCTCCCTGCGCAGCCTTGTAAGAATATCTTGTAGTTGCTTTCAACCCGAGCGAAGAGCCAGCCGCGACCACCAATGAAAGACCAGGTATACCAGATCAAGATTTTTCCCATCCCCAGTTGATGCCCTGTTGCCGCTTCTCGCAAGCCAATTTGACGGGCTGACGTTTTGCTCCGAGATTCAAGCCGTGCTCGTTTTTGGTTCTTCTTCCCTCCTCGTGACAAGTTGTTTGGGTGCCTTTTTGCAGTTGGAGACAGTTTACGCGTGCCCCTCCCGGACTATAAGGTGCTCATTCGACCTCAAGAGCTCAGTCTGAATAGCATTCTGTCCGCGGTGCAGGGGCCTCATGTCTTGTCCGAGTGTTCTCCAAGTTCCCCCGCCAGTTAAGCAGAAGTACAGTCCGGTCTGAAAGGAGCGGCGGCGGTGTTAACAGCACCTCACTCACTTCGCGAAGGCAATGCCCTGCTCGCTGCTTCCAAGTGTGAGGGCTTTGAGCCCGCAGCAGCCTTCGTCAACAAGGTTAGACGAGTGGCATCCGCGGTGTGGACAGTCCAGCACCCAACACATCGCTGTAGTTTCATGCCTCGGACCTTGAGCTTAAGCTATCTGGAAGTAGATCGTTCGATCTCTTTGAGCCGAGTAGCTGACGCCTGCGTGTCTTGCAGCAAGTCAGCAAAACGGAAAACCTAGGTTGTGCAGGGCTTTTGATCCGCAAAGAAGGGGTGGCACCACAAGGACTCAGTCGAACTTTGCACACAGTCACGGTCAGGCGAAGGCGAAGCATTGGAATGATTGATGTCAGATTCCTCCGTGGCCAGGAGAGCTTGCGGTGTTCGTGCCCCGGCCAGTGTTGCCCCCTCGTCCTGCACGGCAACCTGTGTCTCATGTTTCGTCGTTGAGCCTCCATTTTCAGACGCGTTGGCAAGCATCGCCATTCTCCGTGCCAGCTCTTCCCCATTGCGGCATCGCTGGTGGATGAGAGTGGTCCTCCTCGTCTTGTCCGCGATGTCGGGCCAAGTCGTGAACCGGTAGACTCGTTGCCGACCGCGATAGCAACATTCAATTCTGCCAGAGAAACCAGTTGTTCCTGCTACACCATGCATGCATTAGTAGGCACGTAGCTCATCATAGCTCGTTGGCCCACTCGAGTGGTGGCAGGTCCAGCAACCAACAATAACGAAGTTGCAGAGTTGCGCTTGCGATCCGCACCAGCGCATGGAGAGTAGAGGACGGCTGGGTTTGTGAGCTCTGGGACATCTTAGAGTTGGTGTGCTGCCCTTCAAGTGCCTTTGATCCCCTGAGGCCCCTGAGACTAGGTAAGGCTTAGGCCGGACGTGGTAGGCGCTTGCATGCTTCGGGATGCCTTATGGCCCTTATGGTTACACTGGTGATCCTTGTAGGTGTGGCATGCAGCTTTTGTTGGGTGCGCTGGGGTATAAGCTGGAGTTAGTCATTGTCAAGAATGAGCAACAAAGCGCTTTAATTCGAGGCACTGCCACAGACGCTGCATCATCGGCAACCCCAGAAGGATTGGTAGGCAACAGTAACAGACTGATAGCTGCCAATGAGGAGGATGATGCAGTGGAATTTGAAAGCCAGCTCTCAAGCACTGGGCTTTCAGATGCATTCAGCATCAATGCGACTGCGAGTTGCGAGAGTCTGCTTGCCTTAGAATGGTGCACCATCTCATGGACAAGCAAGCTGTCATACCTGCCTTCAAAAGCACGGAGAACTGCACAACACCTCGCTGCAGCTATTCTCAATGGGAGCCGTGACTGTAAACCATGGAAACGGATTCTCGGGGGCCGCTTCCTGCCTCACGATGCCCTCAAGTAAACCAGGTTCTTACATGCCTTTCACACTACTCAAGCACAGAGATCTCCTGTAAGCTTGGGCCGACGGGCCGCCAAAACAGGCTTAATCTTGACTCATGGCTTGGTCAGTCTCTGGAGGCACGTCTAGTCAGTTCCGATGGCCGCCCCATGTTCAATTCGCAGACTTGGTTGGTTTGACAATAAATGTTGACACGTGTTGCCTACTGCCCACCGAGAGTAGAAAGTCTGAAAAAGTGCAGAAGGCAAAAGTGTTCTGGTGTTCGGAGGCGCTGCGTGCTGAAGGAGCAAGCAGTCTCAGTTGAACTGCTGAGATGTTGAGATGACATGCTCCGTCGCCTGTGCAGTAGAAGAGGATGACGATCAACCCGAGGCCATGAACAAAGCAAGAGCCATGCTCGATGCCCTCATGGGGCCGAATCGCAACGAGAAGGAAGTCGACAAAGCGAAAGCCACTCGACGTCCAGGGCAATTTCAACACTAGAAGTAGCGTAGTTGTGCACGGCCCAGACACGTTTGGCAGGGTTGCTCCTTGTTGGAAAGACTGGTAAGGCAAAAGAGAAATTCAAGGATCCAGGCTTCTTGGCTGCAACAGATGTTTCCACCAGCAGATTAATGTTGTGGTCCGTCCACTTCTTGCGGCCGTAGATTCAGGCGTGTGTAAAAGCTTTCTCATCGGGCTTTGTCCGCTTGATCGAGCTTACCTGGGCGGCCCCGCAGCTGCATGTGAGATCGCCTTGTCATGCAATCGTGGAACTCAGCACCGCTGCTACGTCCGAGGTAAACGTGGGATTCTTAGAAGGATCCGTTTCAATGGCTGCAAGGGTGCCATCGTGGGTGTGTCCATGTCGCGCATTCGAGCACCCGTCGATACAATATGATTGAGGTCAGTTTAAGCCCTGTGAGAAGATTCACTCAGAAATTATGAGAGATCAGTCATTGCCTCAGCTTGATGAGACCACATGAGCATTCGTAGAGCGTTGACAGCTCGCTCTTCATGCGCAGTCGCAGAAGGTTCATCACGCACCCCGATGCTGATGAGCTGAGACGTGTAGCCCCTGGTGCCGTCAAACACTGCACATCAAGACCAGCAAAAGCACAATGTCAGGTGTCTTTCGTGCTTCAAGTTTAGCTTGCGTTACTGCTTGGAAAGAATTGCAAGCAAGGTCGGTATGAAGCAGACACCCTTCCCAGTTTGGAGTTTGCCGTCCGAGAGTGCGAAGCACGAATCGCGGACGAGAAGGGGCGGATCCGCATTCCCCGCTGGATTTTCCGCATGTCAGACAAGAGGCAATCACTGAATGCTTTTGATTGCCGGTGCCAGGAGATGACTGGGGTAGGAGAAGACCTCCGTTGCCCGTAGCAGCCCCGGCACTCTAAGGGGCAAAATATAAACCCGTAGGCTGCCTAAACCCTAAACCCTAAACCCTCTTTTAGGCCTAGACTGTCAGAGAGGTTCCTGTCATCGACAAGCTCTCCGCAATGAAGCGGGAGAGCTCCGCCAAAGTGTCGACCCGAGGCATCTTAGAGCCTTCCCCTGCCTCTGCAGTTCCTGCACATCTGAGGTGAAGCTGGCTGAGAGCCTGGGTCTCAGGGTTTAGGCTCGCTATGGCTTGGCTGAAGGGATTCAGGGCTTAGTGCATTGCAGTCCCTGCTCAAAAAAGGCTCGCTATGGGTCGCTGCTCTGGGCCTGCTCAGTCGCTGCAGAGGCCTGGACGATGACAAGTTTCAGGAGAAGGCTCGCTTGATGGCCGAGGCCCAATGTCTTGCAACTGTGCTATGCAAAAGGAGTAATGACAACTGTTGCACAACATGGTCCTTCACAATTATTGCACAACATGGTAGTTCTAGTAGTTTCTGGTGACTTCTGCAGGCCGAAGACCTCACCAAGGAGGCAGCCGCTGTAGAGGAGGATTGGCATCTCTCTGCCGTCTCTTTGCTCCTCTTTGTTCTTTTCTCTCTCCACGCGCCCTCATCTCTCCCCTCGCTCCTTCCTCCTCCGTGCTGTAAAAAGAGGCGTTTTTGCTTGCCACGCATAAAGTCAACTCTGTTCCGGAGGGTGTTTGAGAGAGGTGTGTGTCACGGCTATTCATCGTGCATCGCTGAAGAACTTTCAGGAGGAGACAAAGAAGGCGATTGCGGCTGCTGTTCCTGAAGAAGTTTGTCGTGGCCTGGGGCAGTGCCGGCTTTGAGTGTTGTGTTCGGTGCTGGCATGTGCTCAGGTGACATCTGTGGCACGTGCTACCAGGGCGCTGCTGCCGCAGACTTGGCCGACGACCGGTGGTCATGCATAGCGCAGACTCTAACGCTAAGGCTGATGCGGCCCACAAGCAGTTCAAAATACACAACTCCTATCAGGACATACTAAATCGCAGCAAGAATCCAGATTCGGCCACAGCTCAAGCTCGGTTGGTGTTGCCTAAGTTCGTGACTCTTCACAGCTGCAAGGAGATTCGAAACAAGCTGGACGAGCTGAAGCCCCGAGTAGATGAGTGGCGGAAGAGACGCCAAGATCAGGACCCTGCAAAGTTCTTGTATGTACATGTTTACATGCCACAACATGCATATTAGTTACTAGTCTAAATGCACCCAGTATACAGACAGTATACATGTACCATCTCAGTAGACTGTAAGCTGCTTCGGGTGACCGGCTTTGCCTCGAGGATCCGAAGACCGAGCGCTCCGAGAAGCGGAGCAAGGCCGAGGATCCGGATCCGAAGCAAGGGGACCGGAGCCGTCGAGGCAGCACCGGGCCGGGCCCCACGTAGCAGAGGTGTATATATGTATACATATACACACATAACACGTTATGTGCATCCGCTCGGAAGGCCGAGATCGCGCTGGGGCCTCAAGTCGACGCTTTGCGAATGTGACAGCACCCTTGGTCACTTGGTACCTACACCCCTTACGGGTTCCGCTTAGCAAAAAATGCAGAATATACCCCCGAACCCTATTATCATTATTTTGATGAGTAGTATTCAGCCCCTATATTCGACTCGACAGCCTGAGGAAGACGAGCGAGGCGATGCCCGAGTGGGCCGTGACAGGTCCAGGCTTGGCCCCGTGCAGTAAGTGTGCCGTTGTAGGGGGTTTTGGTGTTTAGAGATTGTTTTTTTACAGTCATGAGTTCTGTCTTGTGGGTCAAGCTGGGCAGTCGAGTCCCTTGTGCAGAAAAAGAGACGGTTTTTCCTTCATGACTGTCCGTGCACACGAGGCTTTTCTGCACTTTCCACCACACCTTGCAGATGTGTCAATGAGGTGGCTCAGGCGGAACGGACTGAGAAAATGCTGCTGCAGTCAGAGACTGGAGGGGGAAGTAGAGACCATGGAAGAATCTCTGCGCGAAGTACACGGTTACTGGGTAAAAGCAATGACTCAAGGGCGTGCAGTTCATCGGACATCTTCATTCTCACACCTGGTGCTATCCAAAATTATTCAAAACTTCAGGCAACAAGGGGAGCAAATGTCCCAGCGGTACCGTTTCAAGAGCAACCGGGTCGAGCCGGACAGGCAAGCAGTCAGAAGCAGGGAGCATGACAGCGAAGGAGCACGTGGCTCAGAAGGACACCCAAGGAGCGAATGGAGCAAGAGGCGCCAGACTGGAAGTCCAAAGGCCCGGTCAGGAGTGCCACATGCGCGCTTGCGCCGAAAGCGAATAACCAACTCATGGCGATTATGTGGGAATTTCGCCCCGGCCTCCTCTGGACCCGTTCCACGATGTCGAGGGGCTTGGCATTTGGAATGTACTCAGCAGAGCTTTGCAGACATTCGTGCAATTGGCTTGACCATTGTCGTAGCTGACATTCGAAGAGATAGGCTCCCAAACAAGGATACTGAGGCGGTCGCAGCTTGATAGTGAGCCAGAGCCGGACGTACGGGAAACATGTTGCTTATCGAAGGCTGGCAGTGCTGTTGGGGTTCTGCTGGCGGCTAGCGTCTATTCAGGGGCCCTTCCGATCAACGTTGTGGCGCTGATTGTTTGTGGCAGGGATCGCAAGCGCAGCCGAAGAAGAAGCCGCGATGGCAGGTTGGATCAACCACTTCCCAGAAGCACGCATCACTACTGCAGGGCACCGTGTGCTGCATGCTGAGCTTGTTGGGAGGCGACGGAGAGAACGAGACTGAGCGGGATTGATGGTAACATCGGCCCCTTCACCCCGGAAAAAGCATGGGCTGAGAGCGGGCAGATGTTGGCCCACTGTTTCATCATGCATTTGGTGAGAGCTTGTGTGTGATTGTCTGCACTATGCGTTCCGTCGGAGCCATTTGGGCTCAAACAGCAGGGACCTTTCGACACAGATCGAGCCATGGTGCCAGTGCTTGTTGTTTTCGCCCTGTGCTATCGGGGAGCTGCGGAAGAGTTAACCTGCAGCTTGCAGACGAAGACATCCAGCATCTTGCAGGCAGAGGACCCGCGCCGCTCGAGGAGCTTGCAGTGACTAGCCTTCCTGCAGGGCAAGCCGCCGGAAAGGTAGAGGTGTTCGGTGCCTGGTCCACGCCAGGGTTGCACTTCCAGCAGTGTGCCCACTCCAAGCGGTCCAAGCCCAGGAAGTCCATGCCCTTCGAAACTTTTGCGTCCACACTCCAGAGCGTCCAGCACGGCCAAGGTGAGGCCGAGGAGGAACCTTTGCCTGAAGTCAAATGCCCGCCGGGCGAGATGCCGATAGGCCACTTCTGCGGTGACAGCTACCACTTCAGCTGCTGCGATGCTGGCCAGCAGTGCGGAGGTTGCCGAAAGATTGAAGATGGCATTTGCCTAGAGTCTGCTGGTTTCGTCCACCAGCAGATCCCGGTCTTGAACATCACCAAGTGTTTTCTCTGCGATGACATTCCCGATTGGCACGACTCCCATGGCCGTACTTGCTACGACTACGAGTCTGAGGGTTTTTGCCGTGGCTTCATTGAGGCCGGTCGTGACCAGCCTTTCCACGGCCTCCGGCCCAGTGAGGCGTGTTGTGCCTGCGGTGGAGGCAACGTGCAGCCCACACCTACTTCGATGAGCTTCGCGCAGCAGGCGCTAGTCTCTGGAGATGTGGTGGATGCTTTCCCGGAGCCCCAGGCTTTGAGCACTCAGGTTGACTGTGACTTGTCTAAATGGAATCTCACCATCGCAGAATCCGGGAGGATTCGCGGCGTGGTAGAAGAGAGCCTAAGCACGGCGATCAAGTGCTCCCTCACGCTGGTGCAGGATCCCATGCGTGGGCTTTTCAGTGGACCTGAAAGTTCCAGTGGGCATGTTCTCCTACGGAGAGGCGGTGTTGGTCTTCAAATACTGGGGCTTGGGCCCAAAGCCTGGCAACAGTTTCCCGCTCCACCGCACGAAGCTCCCACCAGGCCCACCATATTATGTGCTGAAGGACTTCCAGCTTCAGTGTGACTGCCCTTGGCTTCGCATGTTGCCAAGCCTGGAGCTGCAGGCCGGCTCGCTGCAGAGGCCCCTGGAGGGGCCTTCGCTGTCGAGCTTCAGCGGCATGCCATCCTGCAGCTGCGAGGTCTCAGCTGACCTTTTCGAATGGAGGTGGGAAAGGTTTCGCGGCTGGTATCAGGTTCTCAAGAAACGGCCATCCACCAGCTTCGCTGTGGTGCAGACACGTTTTTGGCAGTCGGGTGCCTACCAGGTGCCGGTGCTTCGTGGTCGAATCGGTACACCCCTGGAGATCTCGGAACTGAAGGAGCATGTCCCAGGCTTCCGCTGGTACGAGGACGACCGGTCTGACCAGGCCCTGAAGCTGCCTGTCTTGGAGAACATCTCCTCGGGTGCACGCTTCGCAGTTTCGCCTGCCATGAGCCCCGAGATCCTAGACGTGCAGTGCAGCGATGCCAGCAACGGGACCTATGCGTGGTCCCGCATCACCGGCGACATCACTCGCAATGGGCAGGCGGCTTTCAACTTGGATCCCTTCTCGGGGCTTGCCTCTGGCACTCCTAACTTGGACCTCTGTGCGGAGGGGCGGGGGAGGCTTCAGATTACGTGCGCAGTGGCACTGGGCGGCCAATTGTATGACAAGGTCTTACCAGTCGCAAAGCTCATGGTAGACGTGGTGGATGATATGTGCTGGGTTCCCACCAATGTCTCGGGATGGTTCGGTTGGAAGGACCTGCCTTCAGAAAGCGCTTGCCTCGCCCTTTGCCGCGAGAGGGCAGACTGTGCAGCCATCCAAGTTGGCAACGGCAAGTGCCGGGCCGTCGTCAGTGACGGCGAGAAGGAGCTTTTCGCTGGCCAGGTGCCCTTTTGCGCCTGGAGAACTGCTCCGAGGAGGACACAGAGCTAAACCTCACCGTCAAGGGTGCTTGGTACGCAAAAAGGGAGCTATGCATCGAACGTCTTCCAGGACCAGGTATCCTATTCGCGCGCGGGGGCCACGCCTGAGAAATCCAAAGGCCTGTGAGAACGCTTCCTGGCTGTTGGTGCACACGAACGCCTCGGACTTCCAGAATGGGAGTGTGGATGCTCCGGAATTCTTTGGTGCCGCAATGGCCTGCACCAGCGATGACATTGTGTCCAAAGCCTTTACAAACGGCTATGAGAACTTTGTAATGGAGTTCCTCCCTGCAGAGCTGGATGACAATGCGGTCCCAGAAAGACCCCAGGCCCGGCAGCATGCAGAGCTGAAGCCAGCGGTTCCCTCCTGCGAACAACCGCAGCTGACCAATTTCGTCTTCGGTACCTTGGAGGACCCTGAGCACTATTCCCTGCATCCGTGTGAGTGCTTTGGCGAGGCGCATGCTAGCACAGCACCGGTGGTCGAGTCTTCCAGTGTTCAAGTACCTCGAAGTCGCGGCTTCAACACCGGAGCGGTCAAGGACCAGCTGATCTTCTCGGGGCCCTACACATGTGAAGATACCGCGGTCCTGTCCCAGGCTTTCTCTACGACACTTGCGGATTGCGCGGCCCAAGGCCGTGCTGATGCCACTTGTGCCTTTTATCAGTTCGCTACAATTGACGACACCTGCACGCTTTTGAACCGTTGCGATTACATCCAGCAAGTCAACGTTCAGCTGACGAGCGAGCTGTATGGCATCCCACCCAAAGGTGACTTCTGTCTCATCGCCAACCCTGAGCAGTGCTGGCAGGAGATTAAGCGCCGGAGCTACTTGAGTCTGACACCTTCCAATGTGCCCACATGTCTCTTCCAAGAGCAGTATGATGCCTGTGACGCGCTTCAGCAGATTTCGGGCTGGCAGGCTGGCAGCTGCCCCCGCTGCCAGTACATCAATGCCTCCAGCGAATATGCCAGCAAGGGCATTCAAAAGGTGCCTTTGCCATCGGAGTTCCCTGGCGCATCGCAGATTGTGGTGGGCTGCAACTCCACGTCCCGCATGTTCGTCAGGCTGGAGGAGAGCCTGAAATGGGAGGGCCCCCGCCCGACGACCATCTTCACTTGTGTTAGCGGCCAGTGGGTCGGCGAGCTTGGGTCGTGGCAGAGTCTTGGAAACCTGAGCTGCCAGCAATGCATCCAGGTGGGGACGCCCAGCCTTGGAAACCTGTCCAACTTCGACGTTCTCGAGATCTATTTCCTGCAGCACCGGCTGTTTCAGGTCACCCAGGCAAGTTCCTCGGGCCAGGGCTGCCCAACTGCGAGCTGGCAGACGCGGTCGCCGCTGGTCCTGCAGTTCGAAGGCAAGGAAGGCGCTCAGCGCCTCCGTCGTGCCTGCGGAGCCGAGCATCTGGTCCTGAAGCCCACTTGCTCCGAGTCGGAGGAGGAAACCCTGTTTTGGCAGGATGCAAGCGATCCGGGCACTTTGCGCTCGGGGAGTCCACAAGCGG